CTTTTGGGCTGATTTGGGGGGGATGTGTTCAGCCAACTAGGGGGGACAAAGGGAAAGGATAATGTGTGGTACTTTGGCTGCATATATGAGGATTTATTTGGTGGTTAAAGGGTTAAGAAAGTACCATGTTTCTCCTGGAATTTTATGGTTGTTTAGTGGGTTGTACTAGGGAACATAGTAGGGACCATGTTGGGTGGATGTTGGAAGATGAATGGGGCTGATTTGGTTTCCTATTGTGACCAGAGATTAAAATAGATAGAAGAGACTTTATTTTGGATATCAAAAGGAAATGAAATATATTTGGATGTTTAGGGTTGGGTTGGACGGAGTGGGGGTTGGCTAGCGGAACCCTTAGGTCAAAACGAAAGTTATTTTGGCCTTTCGGGCTAAAGGACTTTGAATTCTCACTAAAATGGATCATAATGTTTGAACCTAAGTCCTTTGGTTTCCATGAGGGTGTGGGATATGGGGGAGGGTATGATAGGGTCGGGCCTAGATATATCACTTGGTTCGATGATTCAAGCAAATGGAGAGTTGGATTGTATTGGAGTTCCCACATCGGAAAATAAAGATGAGTATCACTAGCATATATAGAACGGTGAAGCCCTACCTATCAGCTTAAGCTTTTAGGTTAGAATTGTGGATCCCGACTTTATATGCAAGTGGTTAATTTTACTCGACACTCTATCCGTTATTCTCGGCCCGCCGGAATTTTAACATGGTATCAAAGCAGGTCCGGTCCGGGTTTGATTCTTCCTGGTTGTTTGGATGTGGGTTTAGCAAAAATGAGCTACCCGTCTGTGGTTTGGGCTGAGTTGGTTAAAAAGAGATTGAGATGCCACCGTCCGTTGTGTAGGCTAGCTATAAGAGATTGAGATGTTAGACCCGTTTATCCAAGTGCTAACTAGGCCAGGCTAGTTACCACTTGCGGGGGAGTGTTGGAGTTCCCACATCGGAAAATAAAGATGAGTATCACTAGCATATATAGAACGGTGAAGCCCTACCTATCAGCTTAAGCTTTTGGGTTAGAATTGTGGATCCCAACTTTATATGCAAGTGGTTAATTTTACTCGACACTCTATCCATTATTCTCGGCTCGCCGGAATTTTAACAGATTGAAATGTTACTCATCGTATTTGAGCTGCGGGCAAAGTGGAGGCTAGCTTCAGGTGTCCTGGACCAATATGAAAGGAATGATTTATCGGTCAGTGGTTAGACCAGCTCTGTTATATGGAGTAGAGTGTTGGACAGTGAAAAAACCCACGTTTGTCAGCTTCAAGTAGCAGGGATGAGGATGCCCAGGTGAATGTGTGATCTCACGAGGTTGGATAAGATCTGAAACAAGGTTATTCAAGGAAGAGTGGAAGTGGTGCCTGTGGAGGATAAGTTGCTAGAAGCTAGGCTTAGGTGGTTTGGGCATGTTTGGAGGAGTGCTGAGACCCTGTTAGGAGGTGCGGAGGCTTGTGGTATTGGGAGTGAGAAGCGGAAGAGGTAGGCCTAATAAGTGTTGGGCGGATTTGATTCGGCAGGGCTTACAGACTTTGGGACCTCTCCACGGATATGATCGTAGATAAGAATACCTAGAGATCTAGGATTAGAGTGACTGGGTAATCCTGTGAGCCTTGGGTCATGTTCTTGGCTGGCGTATCTTTTTTTCTTTGCTCGTAGCATGTGACTGTGGGTTGCGGGTCTTATTGTTTGAGGCAGTATGTGAACTCCCTCTCTCTCTTTGCTCTTTACTTATTATACTTCTCTTTTGCTTTATTTGTGCATGTGCTCTGTTTGCCTGATCTGCCTATTGATTCTTGCCTGTTCATTCTGCTTGCTTGTTCTTTTGTCTTTTGTCTTTTGTTTGAGATGGGGGTCTCTAGGGAACATACTCTCTACTTCTTAGCAGGGGCAAGGTCTGAGTAGACTCACTCTCCCAGACCCTACTTTTGTGTGATTTTACTGGGTTGTTTTGTTGTTGTTGTATTGTGAAATTGTGATGCAAATTCCTCAACTTTTTCAATGTTTAAAGCAAATTCCTCTTCTTTTACGATGTTTGAATATACTCCGTAAAATTAAGATTTAAGAATGACATATTAACTTTATGATATTTTATGTGATATTTGAGATTCATTTTAAATTCAGAAATGTTTTATTGTTCTTTTCTATTGTTTGATTGCTGCCCTCCACAGTATATGAATATAGACATGAAGCCCATTGGGGGTTTTAAAAGTATTGCTTATAGTACTGACTTTATTCTGTATTTCTTTAAGAAAATATTATCCCCATATACCCAAATGAGTGGAGCATATATCTGAGAAGCTCATCTGCCTGCTTTTTTATTCTTGGACAGACCAGACCATAAATATATACTCAGCTTCTATCCTCTTTAATTGCAACTGTATATTATACTTCTTTTTCGGGAATACTCTTAATGCAAAGTGTTATATTTGCTATGCTATGATTCTTTTTTCTATCATTACTGCCACTGCTTAGCTTGAGCAGAAAGTATGGGGTTTCCCCTCTTTAAATTGTTGGAATTGCTTCAGTGGGGGGTGTTCACAATAGTTTTAACTTTAAATGGATCAGGTATGTTGATAGGATTGCTAATGCTAAATGGGAGTTGAAAGATCTTGGATTAGAGCACAATGGGTATGTTTCTGTTGCCATTCAAAACATTCTTTCCAGTTTCCATATCTTTCAATGAGAGAAAAACGAAGCTATACTGCTAGAGTAGGTCAATGTTCGAGAATGAGAGAGAAAATGAAAGTGGAGGCAAAAGTATAATAAACGTATCAGAGCCCATGGCCTAAACAAGGTTTACATGAAAATAGTTCTGATTTGATTTTTTTCTGAAAAATTCTTTCATGATATCAGAACTGATGCCAATCATATCCAGTAATTCTTTTAGCCAATTTTGATGAATTTTGTTTGTTATAGTTGAGTTGTAGTTCAAACTAAATCCTGAAATTAAATATTTGAATGTGAGCATGCTAGTTGCATGATATCATGATTCATGAAACATAATCCAGGAAACAAGGCTGAATAGTTATGCTACTATTTTGTCCCTTAGATTGAACTCATATGAACGGAAGATAGATTTGTTCAACTTTACTATGGTCTGGGAAATATTGTAATACACATCCATGCTTAAATATTTTACAATATTATTCTTGCTCAATCTTCAAGCAATAAGAAGATTAATGATTAGTGTTTGCTGAAAAAGTACAAAAGTATCATATATGGTCAATATTGTCACCAGTACTATAGGAATACTCGTAGCTAAGTACTGTTAGCATGCACTCATTTCTAAGTTATAGCCACTTTTCCCAATGATGTATTAGAAACAAACCCAAATATCCAATTGGTTCTTTAGATTTTTGTTTAAAAAGAAGAAAGCCTTATTAATCAGAAAGTTACAAGGGGGAGGACAAGCACCAAAGCCCACGAAATTAAAAATGAAAAATATCCGGGTAAGAAATGGCATCAAATTTTAGATATCCGGTGAGACCGTGGATGCATTTAGCATCAGCAGAATCTGTGGAACGAGAAGTCCTAAGCCCTTCAAACGCAGTGGTCAGAGCTTCTCTGCTGATGCCCAGTGCCAACGGGAATGTAGTGGATGCTCCAATCTTTGTTTCTCAGTTGATTAGAAATAGTTTTGATATCACCCTCCAGTGTCTAGGGCCTTGGTTGCGATTAAGAAGACAATTGGTAATATCACGTATGTCAGATTGAATGATCAGCTATTGATATTCTCATTGGAAGCCCAACTAATAATACGATGGAGTAGAAAAATAGAGGACTTCCAATGGCAAAGCGTATCCAGGCTGTAGTAAGCAGCCATGACCTGATGACCTTCAGGGTTTCTGATGATGATCCCGCCTCCTATAGTTTCTGTTCCTGAGAAAGGGAAGTTTGGGGCTTTGGGCCTGAACCATCTATGAGTACAAATGGTGTCTGTCTTCCTTGCTTTCCTGACTTGAGTACCTGCAAAACTGTTATTTTTTCATGTGTATGGAAAGTACATGGAGATCATTAATAGTATTATTAATAATGGAAAGGTGTGAACAAGGGTGGTCTTCAAACATGGCTTTATTCCCGGCTTTCCAAAGGTGCCAAACCATGATAGCGGGGACGTGAATGATGAAATCATTACGAGGGAGAGCGGAAATGTCATGAAATGACTTAGTGACTGAAGGCAGGACCAAACAGAGGAGTTGGGAGTAGGGGCAGGGAACACAATTCTGTCGGCAAAGAATCTCGAAGATTTCTCTGCCACCTCACAATGGAGGAATTCATGGCCACTTTTATCACCAGAACTCCAGAAGGGCACAAGGGGCATTTGAAAGGGCCATGGATTCGAAACAGAGTAAGGTTGTCCCCGAACAGGAGGTTATTTTTCAGGCGCCAAAGAAAGAAAGAAATCTTTTTAGGAATACCATTAATCCAGAAACTCGATGGAGTGACCCTATCTGCAGTAGGGGGACGGACAAATGGGACAATTGATGCCGTAAGCGGCAAGAGCTTGTGGTATTTATTCTGGCCCACGGAAAACGTGGGATATGGTTCCAATTTTAACCATACCCAGCCCCCTTACTGAAACTCAACATCTTAATAATGTTGATCGTCAATGTTTTAATGAGCAACTGAGCTGCCAACAATTCCACCTTGGCTGCTTGCAATACAGAGTAACGATTTCGCAGGGCTTGATCAACAGCATCGACCTGCATTGAACCACCAGTGTAGGAGAGCGCAGACGGGGAGGTGCACGCCTGTAAACCACGCGGAATCGCAATGGCGTGTCACTGAGGGAAGAGTGGAAAGCACTTTTGTAACAATACTCCACCCACAGTAGCCACTTCACTCAACGTGACGAGAAATCACCAGTCATACACTGTAAGTAAATCTCGAGAATTCTCTTGACTACCTCAGTTTGCCCATCAGAGGGAGGACGAATAGCTGGATACAAATGGTTTTAAAGCGAGTCCAGTTGACCTCCACCTCTTTTTCCCACATTGAATTGAACCATAGTTGAGAGTCCTCTAAAAGATGAATGGATGTATGGAACTGTCTCGATTTGCCCACTGTCAGGAATTTCTTGTTGGAAAGATTTTTCTCATCTTTTTAGCCAGCTAATAAGACCGGTGGTTCCGTCGAAAGTTAGAAGTTCCATGTTCGCAAACTGGCGTTTGGAAAGCCCTCCATTGCTCTTCTCTTTCGAAGACTTCCACGCATCAATGCGCCTTGTATAGACGTCTGATTTAAAGTACTGATGTTATTTAATTAATGTCTTACCCTAATCCTAATAGGTACAGCACTTAAGCCGAACCCTAACAACTTTAGCAACCATAAAGCCAAGTTGTGTATAAATAGGGCACTCTTGTATTCATTTCTCGGCTCTTCAAAGATTATTCCTCTTTCAGGCAACACGCTTAATTAATTTCACACACCAAACAGTGAAACGCTTCCATATATACCAAATCTTGGAGTTTCCTTTGCATTGATTGACTACACCTGTTACATGATGCTAGGAACCTACTCTCTCTGTTTCATAGTTAATGATGCTAGTCTAGTTTGTGTTTGCACAGAGTTTAAGGAAATGTAAGATGAGAGAAGAAAAGGTAGAGTGAGAAATGAGGTGGGGCGAGAGAGAAAAAGTAGGGTGAGATGATGAAAAGGTGGAGTGCTGCGGCAGGTTTACAAATGTACTTTTTCCAAAAAAAAAAAAAGGAAAGATGACCATTAATATGAAACAATCCAAGAAAGAACCCGAAGCCAGTATTTTGAAACAGAGGGATTATAATGTGTATCTCTTATTTGAGTGTGTGGAGTACTGATGTCATTCAATTACTGTCTTACCCTAATCATAATAGGTTTAGCACTTTAGCCCCACTCTAATAACTTTAGCAACCATAAATCAAAGTTATGTGTATAAATAGGGCACTCTTGTATTCATTTCATGAATAATCAAAGAACATTCGTCTTCATTATATTTCTTGTAATCACTCTTTTCGCAACTCGAAGCAAAATGAAGTATTTGAGGTATAAATTTGATGTCAAAAGTTAAAATGTAGAATGTGCTAAAATTTAGAGTGAAAGAACTTTCATTAAGCGATTGTTTAAAAAAGGGTTGATCTATTGCACAAAGAAGTGGAGATACTGATAATAATGTGACACAGAGGATTTGTTAAGACACATAGGATTAATGCAGGTTTGCTCAATTAAAATGGCGCAACCGGAGTACTATGTGATTGTAATGTGCCACTAATATTGAAGAAAAAAATTGTAGGACTACTATAAGACTGGTTTTGTTATATGGATGGCTCATGGCAGAGATGCTTATGTTACGTTGAGAGTGTTGTAACTTGTAAAGTTGTAAGACTAGAAAAGATAGAGTGCACATCGAGAGACTTCGTGGGAAGATTGTGGTAGCTGCTCTTAAAGTTGATTTCGTTGGTTCGGGCAAATTGATAAGTAGGTAACCTGGTTCAGAGATAACTTTGGTTGAAGGTGTAAAGAAGAAGCATGAGAGTGTTGAGCGTTTCATGAGCTTATGATTCATGACTGAAATGAATGGAAATAGCGGATATTAGTGATTCGGTGGGTGACCGGTAGATTTTTATTTAGGTACATGTTGGTGACCCCATTAAATTGGGATTAAGACTTGGTTGTCATTGTTGTTGTTATGTGTTAGGCTCAAAGCATCAAATGGGATTTGAATGAAAGTGTTAACTACTCCGCTACACTGATTTATGCATTTCTGGCAAGTATATAAAAGAGTGCTAGACTGTATTTGACTAATTAGAATCTGTTGATCAGAAATGATGGTGGAGTTTTGCGAACCAACTGTGCTGAGATCTAGCCAGAGCTTCCTATTATATTCAAATTCATTCATTACATTATATAAATAAATTACTTTTTGGTTTCCTTACACATAAGAAAGATGAATTTGATTGGTAAACATGAAAAGCTTCAACTTGCTTCCGGTTGCCTCAAGATAGCTGAATCCTAACAACATGTGCTAATAGATATGTGGATTTGCTTCTGGGGGAGTTTAAACACTACAAAACGAGGCTTGTTACTGGAGAAATTCAAAAGGAGGTAATAACATATATTTATTTATTATTTTGTGTTTTTGATTTCAATGTTACATTACATTACATGAGGATATTGATTATGAGGTTTCAAACTCTTGACTAGGATGCAAGTAGAATATGTGATTATTGGAGATTTGTAATAATTACTAATTTACAATACTGAAAATTTACTCAAGGCACTGGATGTTCAACATCTGTAACGGATACCATTCATTGCTAGTTTTGGAACCTGAAGTTCTGTGGTAGTTAAATTGCCGTTTTCCTTTCATTAACTTATCTCTAGATTTTTTTTCCAATTTATCTGATGGGGCTGATTAGGGAAGTGTCTTTTGAACTCGGATTTACTACCAGTTTTATGCTTCTAGTAGTGGAAACATATCGGAGATGATTTACAGCCATCATATCTTTCTGGTTTGACCATCTAAAGCATTCCTTTTTTAGATGGTGGGTGTTCTTTTGAAATTCTATATCCGTAGGTGGGCTGGGGATTTTACCAGTGGTATTGCTACAAGCCTACAAGATTACATTATTTGAAAGTATGAAAAACTATTGCCTGACCTGTGATACTGTCATTAACCACTTGTGTGTGTGGATATAATAAATTTGGTTTCTTCCAGCTTTTCCAAAGGTCCCAAGTTTGAACCTGATTAGTAAAAATGCAGCTACCTCAAACTCAGATTGAGAATATTTGTTCACGATAATATGCAGTGTCAAATCTGTTTTGCCTATTAAACTTGAGATCTCGCTAAAAAACAATCATATTTAACATGGTTTCTTCCGTTGACTAGAGCTAGAAAATGCTACTCTGTGCAATCTTGTGCCCATTATCATAAATCAGCCCATTCAGTACATCTTCTAATGTTGATTTTAATCTGACAATTGATAACATGCCATTTAATAAATTGTTTCCAACCCTGCAACTGCCATTCTGAATATCGGCACTTGGGTTGTTGAAATGATAATGTTCTTATGAAGAGTTAAGTTTCCATCTTGACAAATGCTTCTATACCCCTACAAATTTTCAGTTTTATCTTAGCCGTTGATTGTGTATCCAGCTCAATTTCACTTCCAACATATGCTTTTACAATATCTATAATATGCAGGTTCAAGATCTCCTATTAGAATATGGACTAGACATTGTTGCTGAAACTCTTGTTGAAGGACTATCGAGGGTTAGGAGGTGCACAGATGAGGGAAGAGCTCTTATGTCTCTAGATCTTCAGGTTCGTTTCCCTCTTACAATGAACCCCAATAATGGTAATCATTTATATCATCTGATGTATTCTTCCAAATTTTGAAAGTTCATGTGGAGTTTTTTGGGTTATAGGTATTGATCAACGGACTAAAGCATTTTGTTTCCATAGATGTGAGGCCGAAGCTACAGATAGTTGAAACTTATATCAAGGTGATAACTGAAATCTTTCATGGTGGATTTGATATATTTTCTATTTCGAAATGGGTATGTCCTTTAGTCCTTTAATCTTTGTTTCGATGGAATAAAAGGTCTGAGGGCCTAATTCTATATATAGATAATTAGAATGTAAGGTCTGCGTACATCCTACCAACCCTTCACGGGCTGAGGTAAGATCTCTGTTTATCATACCCTTCCTAGACACCACTTGTGGGATGTACAATGGGGTTTGATGAATAGAATGTTACAGAAAACGAATAAAAGATGATTGCAATTTCATATGATCACCTGGTATTTTACTCTTTGAATTTTAAAATAGAATTTCAAATATTCCAACAAGAATAACAACAACCCAGTTGAATCCCACGAGAATTTCAAATACTCTGGTATTTGTATATCAATCAAAATATAGACCTAGACCTCCAAAACCCTCCATCAAAACTACCACAAAGGGATCATGCACGGGACCACAAAGGGATCTTGTGAAAGTGTGCACAGTTTGTTTATACTTTATACATCCCTATTTTTCCGTCTTGTATCGAGCATTGACTCGTGCAAATTGAATGCCAAACAGGCATACTATCTTCCAGAGACTGAGTTCGTGCATTGGTCGCGCGCTCATCCGGTATGGGCTTCTATTTAAGATGCACATAATATTTATTTAACTTCATTTTATGAAGTACCAAATGGACATGGTCTTTTGTTTTTTTGCCTTTTAACACTTGCAGGAATACACTAAAGGTCAAGTGGTAGGTCTTGTCAATCTTGTTGCCACAATGAAAGGTTGGAAAAGAAAGACCAGGTATGAAGTGTTGGAGAAGATTGAATAAGCGCTGCTTTCAAACCCTCAACACTTGCTAGGTCTTGTGGATTCTGGGTTCTGGTTTATTGTGATTATGGTTATTATTCAAAAATGTGTATAATCCATGTAATTTGTTTTGGTTGAGGTTTTATTGTTAGGATGATCAAATTAAGTTTGTGTCTTCTTTCTTCTCTTGTATCATAATGCCCTCCCTACCTAGAAAAGGCATTTTTCCCCAAAGGTGTAATCTTCAGCCACAAAAATACAGATTGATGCAGTTTTCTGGTTATGTAGAGTTGATCTGAGACTGATGTAATATTCTTACCACTCATAATGAAACACTATGTGTTGCCCTTTCTGTTCCAATTACTGACTGTTTCATAGCCGTTGTTTGGCTGATGTTTTTGGAGGGTGGAAGATTTAATTTGAAGAGTGGGGATGGCAATGGGTGAGGTGGCTGTGCTTGAATACTCTACCTTTATCATAAATTAGTGACCATTCAGACATAGTGCTCATAATGACTAAAGAGGTTAGTCTAAATAGGAGTAAAATAGAGATAAAGTATCAAAATAGTAGTTTTATATTTTTTATTCCTTATGTAGGATTTTGCACTATGGTAATGTGACACTATATATGGTCATTTTACTATACTTTTTGGTAATTTACAATCATGATAAGTAATGTAAATGCATTTTAATACTTATTTCGGAGATAAAAGCATGAATAAAAATTCTTATTTTTTACAGTCATGATGAATATACCAAAATAAAAGTTTCATATTTTTATTTTCAAAATAGAGTTAACATTCATTTACATTACTAATCATTATCATGTACATTACCAAAAAATATAGTAAAATATAAATGCAAAGTGTCACATTACCTGGTTGACAACTCCTATTTAGAGAATAAAAACATATAACTCCCATTTTGATATTTTCTCTACATTTTATTCCTAATTAGGTGATTTTTTAAATAATTAGTAAGTGTAAAATACACCTTTAATTGAAGGTGGAAGTCTTCAATGAGAAGAGTAAAAAGTGAAAGTAGAATTGATTTGTGAAACAAGTGGAGTATAAATAAAATGTTTTAGCATATAAATGTACTAGTGTTAACCCCGTGCTTCGCACGGGCTCGTATATATTCTGAATTGCTGACATGCTCTTAATGTAATTTCCTTTATTTTTATTTTCTAATAATTATATAATACTTTGTATGTGTTTTATAAATTTTTTATATAAAGATGTATATAACATGCTATGTTGAGAAATACTAAAATAAAATTAATGATGGATACTTTTAAAAATTATATACAATGTTGTTTTTATAATTATATTACTCCCTCTGTCCAATTTAAATTATCTGTTTTGGTTTACGATGTTTGATTGAAGCTATTTCCAATGCAATTTATTAGAGAATTGAAGCAAGATTAAAAGGTTAACTTTACATATTAAAAAACTACATCAAAAACTCTACAAAACAATAGGTGACATGACCATATTATTTTATCAAAAATATGTTATAAAAATTTGAAGGTTTTATAAATCTTTAATATTAATGATGATTATTTTGAGTTAGAAAGTGAAGGATTTTATAAAGAATTTGATAAAATTAATTCTTATTTAATGGTTAACACGTACTCTGTGTTATTGGCGCATGTGTTTAGACATTATCAATAATGAATTTTTCAATTCTATTAGAAATGCACGAATGATTGTTTACAAATAAATTAAACTTTAATTGTAATGAAATTTCAAAGGACCACCGTGGGACCCTCATTTAAAAGTTATTTTAAAAAAATAAAGTGAAATATATAAAAAATTGCAAGATAAAAGATATCATAATATAAAAATATAGTATATTATTACATGACATGACATCTGGCAACACATGACATGTAAAAACACATGGAATGATATTTGGTAGAAGAAAGCTTATGTGGCTACACATGGCGTGACACTTGGTAAAAAGTCCTACATGGCATGACACATGGCGCTACCACAATTAATCCGCTCCAATTTATATATATATATATATGATGATTTGTTTAAACGACACTTAATAATGGATCAAATTAAAAATGAAGGATTTAACTAAATACGACTAAAACATAATGATATTTTCAATATAAGATCATATATTTTTATTTTCCAATGTAAGATCATTAGTCATTATCCATTAGTCATTATTGAAGTAAATATCCAGCATCATGAGACATTATTTCTATGACTAGACATTATTAAGTCCTATTTAGAAAGTAAAAAAGTTTAAGTCCTACATTAGAAAATGACTTATGTTTTAGTTCTATTTAGAGCATGTTCTTTACGACTGGAAAAAAAGAACCGGATGGTAGAAGAAATTGGAAAAAAACTTGAAAAAACTGGAAGAAACTGGAAGAACTGGAAGAGACTCTAAGAAACTGAAAGAAATTGGAAAAACTAGAAGAAACTGGAAAAACTGGAAGGAACTGGAAAAAACTTCAAAAATTTGGAAAACCTAAAAAAACTTTGAAAAAATTTATTTTAAATTCTTGTGGTTATAAATTATTATTATTATTATTATTATTATTATTATTATTACTATTATTATTATTATTATTATTATTATTATTGTTGTTGTTGTTGTTGTTGTTGTTATTATTATTATTATTATTATTATTATTATTACTATTATTATTATTATTATTACTATTATTATTATTACTATTACTATTATTATTACTATTATTATTACTATTATTATTATTATTATTATTATTATAACCATCATCATCATCATCACGTTATCTTAATGAATTCCTTTAAGATACAAAAAAAGTATTGTTATTTTTCAAATACAAAAAACTACTTTTGCAAAAAAGTAATTATAATACAAAGTTAGCATAAATATAAAAATATAAATTTCAAAAATTTTTTATGGTTACGTTGCACCTAAATTTATTTATACAGTATTCATTATAAATAATATATTTGTCATTATACTTTATGTATTACAAGATTTTGTTTTAAATATCAGACATGTCACATAATTTATTCAAACCTATTTTTTCCTTTCATGATTGACATTTTATTTTCATTGAAGTCTTATTTTTGGAATAAATACATCGAACTTTTTTTTTACATTTATGTTTTACTCCTATTTTAGTCTTTTTTCTCTAAACTATTTTGACTCACAAAATGAGCAATTTTAATAAAACAATTTTTAATGAATACAAAATGAGCAATTTTAATGAGAAAACTATTTTTTCTCAATTTTTTTTATAAATATTAGAAAAATGAGCAATTTTAAAGTAATAAAGAGAAAGGTGAGAGATCTTTTATAAAGTTAGATTAATAAAACATTCTATGTCACTATTTTATCCATAATTTTTTAATATAGTTTAACATATTGATGTTTTCCTGTTTTATTGTGTAGATTAATATACAAAAAATTGTCTTATTCATATTAAAAAGTTGAAGAAAAAAAATAATGAGTGTGAATCGTAAAAATAGTGAGATGAAAAAATAATTTATAGACTATAGTTATGAACATAGCAGTTGTAATAATAATAATAATTATTATTATTATTATTATTATTATTATTATTTATTATTATTATTATTATTGTTATAATAATAATAATAATAATAATAATAATAACCACATTAAAAATATATTGTTTTTGAGGAATTGGTTGGGGAGTAGAAAGAGTTTAAAGAAAATGAGAATAGTTGGAAGAAAATGAAGGAACTGGAAGAAACTGAAATGAACTGGAAGAAACTGGAAGGAACTGGAAGAAACTAGAAGGAACTGGAAGAACTGGAGGAACTGGAAGAAACTGGAAGGAACTGGAAGAAATTAGAAGGAACTGGAAGAAACTGAAAAAAACTGGAAGGAACTGGAAGAAATTGGAAGTTAAGAGTTCAAGTCTTAAAGAACAGGTTCTTAGTGCAAATTTTTCATTAAAAATTCCGTTCCTTAGCCTAAAAAATGATTCTGGGCTGGTAGGGCTGCTTGGCCCTCCCTTGGGTCGGCCCTGATGGTGGGTGGCAGTTGAGTCTTGCAGAGCGAATGAAAGGAGAGAGAGAAATAGATGTCTATGAAATTAATTACGGAGTAGAACAATTTTTGTGGGATTTCTTAGGGGGAGTTTGTAAATAAGATACGGTTGCTTCAATTCACTAACTCATTTTAAAAATGAAGCAACTAGTGCTCTACATGTTACATGTACTCCGCATAACCTTTTCTAGGTGAAGTGATGCTTTAAACTTCTTAGGTTCAGGACAGGCTTGACGGGGATGTGATGGGGTGTAAAGATGTATGATGTGGAGTGGTTAAAAATGTGTGTTATGGTGAGTGTGAAGGAATGTGATGAAATGTCAAAAACTTTTAAGAAAATTAAATTCAATGATATTTCAATTTAGCTAAGTGTTTTTATTTTTTTTAATGTAGTTTTAAAGTTAATATTAATGAAATGTTTAATTTAAATTTTTAGTATAATTATTTTAATTAGAAAAATTGTTAAAAAAATACTCGTAGTACCCGAGTATTAAAAATAGAAAGGAAAGGGGAACGTAACCACACCCGTGAAAGAGAAAAATCAGAGGAAGTAGAAGAGAAAAGCTCACGTGACGTTAAATTGTCAACGATAGCCACCCACCCGCTACTACTGAAATGAGAGTTGCCAACAAAGTTCAAAAAAGGTGAAAGGAAATGTAGCATGGCCCAATGTAAAAAGACGGTGTACGTACGTACACATGCATTATTTGAGGTACACATATCCCAAACATTTTTTCGTTTCCAAAATATACGCAACAAAGAATAAAATTAGAGTTCATTTAAATGTTTAAGTACATGCTTGAGTTGATATGATGATGTCTCCCCTAATTAATCACGGAGTAAGTAATTGTTAGCATGAATCGAGGCATGGCACTACGTACTGTTCAGTAATCATTTACTCCCCCTTCCGGAAATGTTCTTCTCATTTGACTTTTTACGGTTTCCAAGATTGCACTTTGACCACTAATATCTTTATTTATACGTACATAGATATATTTTATAAAAATTTGATATTTGAAAACTATATTTCAAATTGAATATATTCATACTAAAGTTATATCGTAATATAATATATTTTTTCCACATATCATAGTTAAAGTTTACAAATTTTGACCAAGAAAAGTCAAATGGGAAGAATATTTCCGGACGGAGGGAGTATTCAAGAGAAAAGTTTCCATTTTTTTTTCATCCGTCCCAAAAAACACTTTCTTTTTCCTTTTAAAAAGTCACTTATCAAAACTTAGTTTATATTTCATAAACTAAAAAAATGAATGACAAAAAAGAAGTATTTCGAATCTTTGTGAATACTGTTATATTTTTATATTCCTTCACTAAATAATACGGAGTAATTTTTAAAAGAAATTAGTTCAAATTCTATGATGTATAAATTATACTTTTATTTGAGTTTTAATTTTTGTGTATGAACATAAAAGTATTTAGGGAAAATCATTATGTACTCCGTATGTTTTAGTGTTATATATATATGCATACACACACGTAACGTACCCATCTTCTACGGAGTAATAAAGAGCAAAATATACTTGAATTGGTAATAAGAAAGATGGGAAATTTCCGAAGCAGTCTCACAAGTAATTGCTGGGTTTTTCCATGGCATGGGCTTTTCCAGGGATCAAATCCTCAGGTAATTACTATTTTATCTCCCGCAAATCCTTTCTGGTTTTGATTTTTTTTGTTAAACCATGACATCTTTTAATTACAAATTAAATATATTTTAAAAAAATAAATGCATGAAAACTTGATATTTCAAAACTATATCATAACATAAATTGAAGATAGTTATATTGAATTTATTATATCATAATTAAATATATATTTTTTCACAATGTATGGTCAAATAGAGTCATTGTTTGACCAAAAAGACTCAAAACATGAAAGAGTTTATGCGACAGAGGGAGTATACGGTAAAAGGCTTATTTGAGAATTATGTTAGAGATTAGCGTTAGCATTTTGTAAAAGTTATCTACGGGCAGCGTTTAGTGTTATCGTTTACAATATAACCTGCACCTTTAAAATTTTATCTAAAACAATAATGCTAATCCTAATGTTATTTCCAAAGAGGTCTAAAATCAGTTAATCCCATTTTTTTAAAGCTTAGTAATATATGCAATTATGCCTAGACAATGCAAAGTATGACGCAAAAATGTAGGGTTAAGATAGGTATGGAAGGTATTACTCTGGCCCCTTGGGCAGGGATCTACGAAAGTAAATTCTTTAGTAGACCTAAAGTTCAATTTGTATATTTTATGAACCTTAGTCATTTGTAGTATAAAAAAGTGGAATTTTTACAAAACAGAAAATATTAACATGAAAGCTTATGAAAAAGGTGAGAAGATCGATTCATATTTTAAATGTAGACCTTAGAAGATCGATTCATATTTTAAATGTAGACCTTTGTACCTGCAAGCATTTTTAGAGCTTTTTTATTTTGTTTCTTTTTTTAAACCTAGAATCGGTTGACTTTTATGTGTCAAGTATAGTCTTGCCATTTACTCTCTCCGTTTCCCAAAAGAGTTCCTCTATCTTTTGATTTTTAGCCAAAATAAGAAACTCATATTTTGGCAAAGACCTTCCCATATTGCCCTCTTACTCACGTGGGATACATAGCAAAAGTGGCAAATGTGAGAATAAAATAATGAGGATAATAATGACTAACTTGTCATGAATAGTGGAAGCATTAAATGACTCCACCAAAACCCTTTGCATTTCACACGGCAACCATAACAAAAGAGGGAAAGATTACAAATTTTTTGTTTGGGAAAAAATTTAAAAAGCCCTCCAAATATTTCAACCTAATACTACCACTTCTCAATATAAATATACCAAAGCATTAAATGCATTCATCTCTCCCTAAACATGTCTTGAATGAAAATAAATGCTCCATATAATCTGTCTACCTTCATTTAGCATTGATGGAACCGTCACCTCTTCCAACTTCCTCTCGTTTTGGAGATGCCAACGCCGACTCAGCCGATGTCTCCCTGCCTCCACTGTTGGAAGTACCTTTCGAGGCTTTCAACACCCCTGAAATAAACAACAACGCATGTATTTCCGGTGTGCAAGCAAGAAACGAAAGAAGGCAGCGAATAATAGAGGCAATACTACAAAATTTCAAAAACGACAAACTTCAGCACGGGTCACTGATAACAGTGGCTAATGAATTCAACATATCTCCTCGTTGGGTCAGAGAGCTATGGAAAGCTGCAAAATCTCAAATGGATAGGGGCCAGGAGTGAATGTGGATTGCAGGTGGGAAGGTAACTCGGGGCAAAAAGGTTTCAATTTGGACATTTCAAAGCTGACTGACATTCCATTTCACCAGCGGCAAACGCTACGTGCCCTAAGCCACTGCCTTAATGTGTCAACTAGTACAACATATAGGTTGCACTACAAGAATTTGTCTGATCTGCAACGGAAATCTGCTACGGACCCTTTTCCGTAGCAGATCTGCAACGGATCAGCGACGGATCCGTAACCTCTGAAAAATAAAACAAAATCTGCGACAGACATCATTTTTCCGTTGCAAATCAGCGACGGAATATTTTACCCTGTCGCAAATTTGAGTAGGTCAAATTTTGACCTAGTTATCTCTTACGGACGCTGAATTCAGACGCAGATTCGTCACAGGGAAGTACTAAAAAACAAGATTGGTTTTTTCCCAGCCATTCGTCCTTCAAACCTAATCCCAATTCCTCTCTCTCCCTCACCCGTCCTTCGAACGCCACCCCTCCCCCACCCTCTACGCCCGTCCTCGCCGCCGACGCACGTCCTCGCCGCCAGCCGGCCGTCCTCTCCAGCCACGCCGGACCCTCCAGCCGCGCCAGGCACGCCGTTCGGCCCAGCCGCGCCAGCCACGCAGTCCCTCAAGCTTGTCGCTGACGATAGTCTAACCTCAAGCTTGTCGCTGACGATTCAGGAGGAGATAAGGAAGCTATATGGTGGTAACCTTCCTCGACAAGGCGATGATGATGGAACGGGAGGGGCAGGGCAGCCCGGGATTTGTTGAGACCTTTACGACCTTAGCTTCCTCCATTTTGAACACTTGAATCTAACACTTTAATATTCATTGTTAGAATATCATGAATTATGTTACATTCGCACGTGAAGTTTTCATTAATCTAGCTTTGAATTATCAATTTGGGTGTTGAAATCTTGTTTAGAATTATGTGTGTGAAAATTGAATGTGTTTATCCCCCCTCCCCCCTTTTATTAGTAGGTAGTGCCTAAAAACAGGAAAAAGCTGCATCTGTGATCAGGTCTCCTACGACGGACAAAGCTGTTGCTATATCTGTTGCTGATCTGCGATGGAACGGTCCGTTGCTATTGCCGTCGCAGATCTGCGACGGTTCTCTATATCCGTCGCAGATTTTGTCTGATAAAAAAAAAGAAAATCCCGTTGCAGTTCCGTCGCAGATCTGCCACGGATTGTGAATTCCGTCGCAGATATTAAATCTGCCACAAGTTTTCTGCGACGGAAAAAATTCGTTGCAGATCCGTCGCAGAATAGAAATCTGCCACGGACAAAGCTGTTGCTATATCTGTTGCTGATCTGCGATGGAACGGTCCGTTGCTATTGCCGTCGCAGATCTGCGACTGTTCTCTATATCCGTCGCAGATTTTGTCTGATAAAAAAAAGAAAATCCCGTTGCAGTTCCGTCGCAGATCTGCCACGGATTGTGAATTCCGTCGCAGATATTAAATCTGCCACAAGTTTTCTGCGACGGAAAAAATTCGTTGCAGATCCGTCGCAGAATAGAAATCTGCCACGGAATTTCACATTCTGCCACGAAATTTTTCCGTTGCAGATCAGCAGTTTTCTTGTAGTGTTGGTGGAGAAGAAAAAAAATAAGAAGACACTCATATGCTATTAAACCTCATCTATGTGATGAAGGTAAGTTAAAAAGGGTCAGGTATTGTTTGTCATTACTTTCTCCCACATCCCTACCAAATAACCTAACATTCCATCATTGTTATGATTATATACATATTGATGAGAAGTGGTTTGAGTTGAGCAAGACCAAAAAGACCTTCTACACCTTACCTAATGAGGCAGACCCCTACAGAACCATACAGTCCAAAACACATATTCCCAAAATTATGTTTTTGGCTGCTGTAGGCCGTCCTAGGTTTGGGGATGATGGTCAGGTACTGTGGGATGGGAAAATAGGCATATTCCCATTCACATTTCAAGAAGCTGCTAAAAGAACAAGCAAAAATAGGCCTGCTGGTACAATGGAAACAAAGCCCATTCCAAAAATAACAAGAGATGTCATGAGAGAAATGATGGTACAGCAACTATTGCCAGCAATAAGGGAAAAATGGCCACAGAGTTCTAAGAATGTTGTCATACAACAGGATAATGCCAAACCACATGTTGATATTAATGACCTAGTTTTTTTTGGCTGCTGCACAAGAGAGTGATTGGGATATTAAGTTGCAATTTCAGCCCCCCAATAGCCCAGATTTAAATGTTCTTGACCTTGGCTTCTTTAGGGCAATAGATGCAATACAAAACAAGAGTGCACACAGGTCATTGGGGGATCTCATAAATGCTGTCACAACAGCTTTTGAACAACTCACACCACAAGTTTTAAACAATGTGTTCATAACCTATCATGGAGTCATGGGTGAGGTGTTGAGGCATAATGGAGGAAATAATTTCAAGATACCTCACATGGGGAAGGAAAGGCTGTCTAGGGAAGGAATACTTCCATAAAACTTGGGAGTCAGTACTGAAGTGTATGAAGAGGTGCTCCAGATTTCAGAAATGAACAACTAAAAGAGAAAAGGGCGGTTGTTTTTGTGTATATTTTTTTGGTAATACACGTGGTTTGCAAATGCAAAATATTTTTTGTTTTTTGGTGCAAGTGTACACCACATGTATGAAGCTTGTAATGATGTAGTACAACATGTGATATGTAAAACCATCATTTTATGACTATAAAAAGTCTTTTTTTTGCATTTGTATATTCAAAGAACTGGTAAGGGACAGACTGCCTTAGAAAGGGACCTCAAACCAATGGGACAAACTGCCTCAGAGATCACATAGGGTACCACACATTCAGAATTAATCATAGGCAGTAAAGAGAGGGACCCTGACAACACATAGGAAAAAACTGCCTTAGAGAGAACACCACACATTGAAAAGCCATCGTATGCAGTAAAGAAAGGGACCTCAAACTACCTCAGAGATGACATAGGGTACCACGCATTCAGAATCCATCATAGGCGGTAAAGAGAGGGACATGAAAGCTTATGGACAAACTGCCTCAGGGAACATATAGGGTAGAACACATTTCTAACCCATCATAGGCAGTAAAGAAAGGCACTCAGGTCATTTAGGGACAAACTGCCTTAGAGAACCACATAGGAAACCACAGATTCAAAATCCATCATAGGCAGTTAAAGAAAGAGAGCTCAAAGTATAGGGACACTAAAGAATCAGATATTCACACAGGATATATACCACACAATTTCTGGCTTGACATGTCACACGGCAACCATAACAAAAGAGGGAAACATAATCTTCACCACACAGAAGAAATTCCACAAACACATTCACTAATGCCTGATCAAACATTTAACCATAATTGACCTTTGTAAGCCTCCAAACCAAAAATGGGGTGGCGTTACAATTAGGCAACTTTCATTAACGTTAAGATTAATTTTTGTTCGCAACATTAGTTTGCCCAAAAACAACATGCAAGACATATGCGCAAAGTGTAAAGGAGAGAAGATTAAAGGACATTACTCTGTTTATATCTTTCAATTTTGGATGGACTTCCTACTGGCTCGGATAACAACACCTCTGTTTCTGAGCTCATTTCTCGAATCTCATCAGTGTTGAATGAAGAATCAAGATCTGATAAATCTTCTTCCAGATCTGATCCCCACTCAATTCCATCTAGGAGATGCTCACCCCTAGGTATTTTTTCCGGAAATTCCACGAAGGATCGGTGTTAGATGAACTTGATGGAAGCGGATCAACATGACGTTTCAAGGCAGCTATGGATCGTTTGCGCTTGCTCAAAGATTTCTGAGTACGATGAGGCTTAGGTTGGTCCTCATCGCTATCAGAGAGCAAGCGAAATGAGGGCATGGTCAGATCTGGAGAAGAGGAAGCAGAGATGAAGCTGATCCGGTTCTGAAAAAAGAAAGGTGAGGAGAGGAGAAGAATCTCCAGGGGAACGAAGGGCGGATGTTTCTAGATGACGCGTGGGATTGTGACCATGGGTTGGATAAGGTAGGATAGGGTATTGGGTAAAATTAGGTTTAGGGGCAGTTTAGAAAAAAAAGTGAAAGAGGAAGAGTTTTAAGAAAAACGAAAAAAATGAAAGAAGAAGGGTTTTGGGAAACGGAGGGAGTATGTTCTTGTTTGGTTGGTTGCGTAATTATAGAATCAAGACATATATACATAATTATTAGCCAATTAGATTTTTCCAATATACGGGATATTGCAAAGAAAGAGATGAAAAATTAAGAAAGGACTTCGAACATCTTAAAGCTCTAGAAAAGAGAAGCAAGGAAAGAGATGAAAAATTGAAGTACTTTTGTCTCCGCAAAAAGAGAAGAGAAATTAGAGTTTATCATATTCTTATTGCTTAAATAATAATGAGAAAGAATTAAAATATATAGAGAATAAAGATAACGCTACTTGACCTAATGGGCTCATCATGGGATCAAACACAAACCCTAAACATGATTAATACTGCTTCCTCCGTTCCATAAAACCTTTCTCCTTTCGTATTTTTCCAATTCCCTAAAATACGTCTACTTTATATTAAAAAACTACTTTTACTCATACTTTTTCATACGCAACCTATCACATCATACTTTTTCACTAATAACCAAACTATCACATATTACTTTTACTCATCACATCAGGGGTAAAATTGGAAAGTCAACCAAAATTACACTTTCCTTATCATATCAATGTATTAATAATCCACTAATCATATTTTACTTTCATTCATCATATCAATAGTATTTTTGAAAAGACATGCAGCACAATTCTTTTTTAACATTCTATAAAAAAACAAAATGGAAAAGGAACATTACAAGAAATATTTGCACTGAATTAAATAATACTAAAATTTAAGTCATTTTCTTAAATAGCACTTAAACTGTTTTATTCCTTAAATAGCATTTAATAATGTCCAGTGATGGCAAACATTTACTTGAATAATTAATGACTAATGTATAATGATTAAAAGTGCTACATTGGGAAAAATATACATGTAATGCTATTTAGGAAAAGTCATTCTGTTTTGGTGCTATTTACGTAAATTCCACATATTACAATGGAGCCAAGTACAAGTCGAATGAAATGACATCATATTTTTATTCATCGGATTGAATGGGAGCATTTTAGTTTTTAATGCACAAACGTAACTCACTTATTTGTCATTGACATTTTTTTAATAATTATTCTTATTATTCTACTAAATATTACTCCGTGTATTATACATAGATACGGAGTATATATTATTACACCAACCTTGTAGCTTCACTTGAAACTGGCATGTGGCTTCACGATGTTACCCACCATCTCTAATGACGCGCACGGCTGATCCGCTGGAACCTGCACGTACGTACGTACAAACCCAATATTAAAATCAAACCAAAAACATATACTATACGCAGTAATTAAATATATGAAAAACCTTAGACAGTGAGTAAACTTACAAAGTGGCCGGCGTCAAGAATCCAATAGAAATGGAAGTTCTTATATGTCCTTGAGAAGCCCTTTGTTTTGTTCTGATTACCGGCACAATATATTGGGGTTCTGTTCGTGCTCAGAAATGTATTTTTTCCTTCCCACCTGTGAATTATAATTAAACAAATTAATTTGATATTTACGTCCTTCATATTTACAAAAAAAAAAAAGAAAAAAATAGTGTATATATTAGGTTTAATATATTACGTACTTGAGCTTGTGAACCCAGGCTTCAGTTCCCTTGGTGGGAGCCACGAGATCAACCTAAGACCACCAAATCCAAGTCCAAGAACTATTTAGGTGGGACAAAAAAACATTGGTCAAAGTTAACTGAGACAAGACTTAAAACAATAAATAAGGATACAATATTATTGAAGTAGTCTTTGAGATGGCAACGTTCAAGACCAATAATGGGAAACTATTAATTAATGAAATGTACTCATCCATGCAGGGGCATACTTGTCCAGCGTAAATCGTCACGTCCACTCCCTTGAGCAATAGTTCGTCAACCTACTTATTATATTCATATTGAAAATACACTTCGAGTTAGAAATATCATTACTCCTATATTCTAATATACTCCCTCCGTTCTCAAAAACACTTCCTCTTTCATTTTTTCCACTTCCAACAAAACACTTCCCCTTTCTATTAAAAAACCACTTTTACCCTTACTTTTTCATACCCTACATATCACATCATACTTTTTCTCTAATAATCTATCCATCACATCTTACTTTTACCCATCACATCAGGGGCAAAATTGGAAATCAACTACTCCCTCCGTTCTCAAAAACACTTCCTCTTTCATTTTTTTCACTTCCAACAAAACACTTTCCTTTTCTATTAAAAAACCACTTTTACCCTTACTTTTTCATACCCTACCTATCACATCATACTTTTTCTCTAATAATCTATCCATCACATCTTACTTTTACCCATCATATCAGGGGTAAAATTGGAAATCAATTATAATTTAACACTTCCTTATTTTTGTCCCAAATCAAAATGGGAAGAATTTTTCCAAACGGAGGGGGTATAATTTAACACTTCCTTATTTTTGCCTCCAAATCAAATGGGAAGAGTTTTTCCAAACGGAGGGAGTATTTCTTATACATTGTGTACAAACCTATAGTATAAAAACCCTAATATTTTAAACTACGTTTTTAATATATAAATTCATTGGTATGAAATTTACATTATAATTCAATTTTATTTTTTCTGTAATATATGGTTAAAGTTAAAAAAAATTGATTACTTAAGTCAAAAATAGAAAAAAGATATGAGACAAAGAGAGAATTATAAGTCAACTAAATTTTATAGGGTGCATCAAATCAACTAAAATTTGTGGATTGCAATTAAAGGAGATGGGGGTACGGTGGGTTCAGGTCGGGGTGGGGGTGGTTTACGGTGGAATTATGAGTTAGGAACCATCATTTTTTTCGTAGGTGTCCCGGTCATTGTATGACATTAAAATCTAATGTTATTTGAACTGAGTGTTCTTCATTAAAGATTAAAAGTTTATTTCAAATATGATACTAAGTAATAGATGAAATACTTCCATTAATTATAAAGTGTGTGGTATGAATGGTTACACTTATTTTGCTTATCAACTCATACGAGTATGAGTTTAACAATTTGTTTGATTATGTTAAACTAAACATAGTTTCACGAATATATAGTTAATTATACTCATTTCCTTGATTTGGTAATGAATAAAAGCGTATGTACCTCGTTGATTCTTGGTCTCATGAAGTCGCCAACCAAAGAATCATAGACACGAACAGACGGCCTTTCCCACCTACGTACCAACATACCAAATTAAACCATGCATGCATCACCTTATCTTAATTAGCTAATCATTTTCTATTGAGTAATGCTAGAGTCACAAACAAAGAGTTCACAAAATTCACAAACTTACCTTTTTGACACTTTTCTAGAAATAAGATACACTCAAATAATAAAAGATATTTTAATTTAAAATCCAGATAAAGCAAGTTTGTGAACAAAATGTTTGTGACTCTAGCATTTTCCTTTTCTATTACTCCTTTTAGAGTAAATTCCATAATTGGTCTTTTATAATAGGGGGATTTTCCTATTTAGTCTCCTTTTATCAAATATTACTCCAGTGGTCCTTCTTTTATGGGTATCTTTTCACAAATAGTAGTCCTTTTTTTGATCTTCTATCATGTTGGAGTTAATTTGAGAGCTAAAAATGTAATTTCACAAAGAGAATATATCTTTTTTGTCATACACAATTCCAAAGGTTGTTCCGTTTGCATCGTTTGTGAATTACATTCGCTTTCTACTACAACCATAGTCTACAAATATGGTCTTCCATCAGAATCCTGGCCCAAAATCATAGTCATTATTTTTGTGTTATCCACTTAACCAATATTAGAACACGTCACTAGACATAATGTTGATGTCAAATTATACTTTTAGCCTTTAAATTAACACCCACATGGCGGAAGATTAAAAAAAGACCATTTCTGGAAAGACACCCTTAAGAAAAGGACTACGAGGATAATATTTGATAATAAAGGACTAAATAGGGAAACCCCCTGTTATAAACGACCAATTATGGAATTTACTCCTCCTTTTATCTAAACATTATTTTCTAGTTTACTATTCAAAACACAAATTTTATTTACTTTGCAGACCTATTTTTATTTCCCATTTGATAAAATAATATAACCATGCCAACTATAGTTTTGTAGATCTTTTGATAGTCTCTCCATCCTAATTTCAATTGCTTGTTTCGTTTACGATGTTTGACTAAAATTATTTTAAATACTCCCTCCGTCCCTAAATAAACTTCCATTTTTGACTTTTTGAGGATTTAAGGGAGGGATATTTTTGTGTTGATTTTCCAAAAATACCCTTGATGTGATGTGTAAAAGAAAGATGTGATAGGTAGATTATTAGTAAAAAGGTATGATGTGATAGGTAAGGTATGAAAAAGTAAGGGGTAAAAGGGGTTTTTTAAGAGAAAAGAGAAGTTTATTTGGGGACAAAGAAAAAACGAAAGGAGAAGTTTATTTAGGGACGGAGAGAGTACAATATCTTAGAGAGTTTGAGTAGAATTAAAAAATAAATTTTACATATTAAAAAACTACATCAAAAGCTCAACGATATAAGAGATGACATGACTAAATTATTTTATCAAATGAGTAACGAAAATAGAAAAAGAAATTGAATGAATTTTGATCATATGAATAGTAAATAGACAACTTAATTTTGGATGGAGGAAGTATATATTGTAATTTTTATTTATTAATTTCACATCATTTTTATATAAAATAATGTTTAAAAAAATTTCAGTCAAACATCATAACGTGTAATAAGAAAATATTTTTTGGACGGAAGGAGTATTTTTTATCGTGGATTGGAAATTTAAATACTACGAGTAGTACAATAATGCTCTGTATATAAGTCCAAGAAGCAATAATTAAATTGACACTTACGAAACGTTTGGAGGGACTTTTAACCTATCCTTGATGACTCCTCCATTCATTAATTTGTATAGAATTGGTTGTAAAGAGTTTGAAGCCCCGGGGGAGACAACATCCTCGTAAGAGTCTCTCATAATGTTGTACAAATCCTGCATGTAATTACATTTGGCTAACTCATTTGATTGTATTTATTTATATACCATGCAAATTTCATGTAATTAATGAAAATAAAATGAGAATCGATCGAGGCTCCAAAAAATATAATAATAGACATATAAATATATAATGCGTACCACGGAGTTGGTGTAATCACTTATGACACCTTGAAGTGTTAACGACAAATTTCTCGCCTCCGCAAACTGCCCACCATCAATTTTCTCCTTGATTTGCATGGCCATACTGTTTTTATCATCCATTTTTTTTGTTAGATCAAAATAATGCAAGAGTGTACGTAATTAAAGAAATTTTCTTACTTGGTAAATGCCGTCAACAAGTTTTTGATTGGATTGATTTCTTAATTGCCTACTTGAATTAACATGATCTTTGGCCCAAATTAAAAAAGCTACGAATTCAATACGAGTATAATACACTCCTCAAATTGTGAGTTAATACGTAAGAAATCTGCGTAGCTAAATAAAACTAAACCCATTCATGTAGTATAAAAAATGAGACTTATATTTTTATCCGTAGAATAGAATTATTGCTTTGAGATCATCAGTACATGTTAAATATATTAAATATATTTAATATTATTGTATTATGATTTGTTTCCATACTTGTATAGCTTTCCTAGAATACTTCTCCTACCATAACTAGGATTGAGATGTTGTATATATATACATGTACTCCTCACATAATTAATCAAGGAAAATTACAATTCTTCATGGTATCAGAGCCACACCAAAAACCCTAAAATTCTCTCCCCCTTGTTTCGGCCTCCCCCCTCTGCCGAGCAGCAGCGCCGCCGCATCTCCTCCCTCTTCACTCGGCCGGCATCTCCTCCTCCACCATGACGGACAGTGAGATCACATCTCAATCCTCTAGCCCAAAACCTCCCCATCTTGCTTTCTCCGTCTCAAATGTCAAACTTCATGTTCCAATTCAACTCAGTTTTTCTCAACCAAACTATAAAAAGTGGAGCCGCTTGTTTCTCCTTCTTGCACGGCGGTTCAATCTCCATGGCTATCTCAATGGCTCTATTGCTCCCATCTCCGACGACGACGACGAATGGTTCCAACTTGATGCTATTCTCCAGGGATGGATTCTCTCCACCANGGACGGGTCCGTTGCTATTTTCGTCGCAGATCTGCGACGGTTCTCTATATCCATCGCAGATTTTGTCGGATAAAAAAAGAAAATCCCGTTGCAGGTCCGTCACAGATCTGCCACGGATTGTGAATTCCGTCGCAGATATTAAATCTGCCACAAGTTTTCTGCGACGGAAAAAATTCGTTGCAGATCCGTCGCAGAATAGAAATCTGCCACAGAATTTCACATTCTGCCACGAAATTTTTCCGTTGCAGATCAGCAGTTTTCTTGTAGTGTCGGGCTTTCTAGGGGGCACTACTATTCGCAAAAAGAATCTGGGAAGATAATATAAAATGACTAAAAAAATTATACTCCGGGTACTCCTTATCCCATCTCAAATGATTCGATCATACTACCTCCGTCCCAAAAAGAATTTCCTACTTTGGTTAATGTGCAAAATCCTATGAATTTTAAAATGATTTTATTTGCAAAATGGTAAGGAAATAACACATAAAAAAATTATATTTAAAAACTACATCAAAAACTTTACAAAATAAGATGTGACAAAAATATTTTATTTTATCAAATGATCAATGAAAACACGCAAACAAATAAGAATTATCGAGAGGCCGTAATAGTAAATAGGAGTATTACTCTTTCCGTCCTACAAAACCTTTCTTCATTCTTTTTTCATCCGTCCAAAAAAAAATTCTCATTTCTATTGAAAAGTCGCTTTTACCCGTATTAATTCTTAACCTACCTATCACATCATTTTTTTACACTATTAATCTACCCATCAAGTCTACTTTTACCTATTTCAAAGATATTTGTGAAAAGTCAACACCAAAATACAGTCCTCTTGAATTCCTTAAAAATCAAAACAAAAATATTTTGTGGGAGGGAAGGAATATAACATAATGTCAATACTAATAAGTTATTTACACAAATTTTTACCAAGTCTAATACTGATAATCATTCCACGTATGGAAGTCCATAAAATAAGTATAAGGCTGAGTGCAACAAAATAATTTTGCAATGTCTAAATACAGTATTTTTCTTTTAAATAGTAGAATTATCGCTCAAATTAAAAAAAACAATTAGAGGAAGGGTGGGCGGTGGGTTATTCCGTTATGGTCGGTCACAACTCATAAGGGAAACAAATTATAGTGGAGTAGACTTCCTATTTCATATGCTCCATATTTTCTTTTTGACCCATGACCAAATTAAAAGTAATTGTGGAACTTGGTATTTGATATGCCCCTCTAAAAATTTATTTTGAGATACCCTTTGATTTTTCTGAATTTTTGGTAATAACTCTTAGATCCCCCATTATCTTAAATATATTTCAAAGTATCTTTATCCAAAATATACTCTAGAGGTGTTTAAAATTTGTGGTAATGTACATCGAATGTATGTTCTGTCTATTTAGTTGTTATGATTGAATGTTCTGTTACTTTGATGATTACTAAATTTTACATGGATAATCATTATTTTATTAAATTTAAATAAAAATTTCCAATTTTTCAAAGTAAAATAACCATTAATCTAACGCTTAAATTGAGAGAATGTACCTTCTGAGTATAATATCACAAATTTTAAGGACTCGAAGTATATTTCGGATAAAATGGGACCTTAGAGTTCTTACAAAAAAATTAAGGGTAGCCCGAAGTATATTTCAGATAATGAGGGACCTGAGAAGTGTTACAAAAAAAATACTCCGTACATGGTATTCGGAAGTAACTTTTTTAAAAATAATCTTAAATAAGATTAAAACATAGAGAAAAGTACCGAAATAGGACTTTCATGTTTTTTTCCCTGGAATAGGACTTTGCACTGTGGTAATGTGACTTTGCATTGTAGTAATGTGGCAGTGTACATGTCCAAATTACTATACTTTTTTGGTAATTTATATGACCATGTTTGGTAATGTAAGTCCTATTTCGAGAATAAAAACATGAAAGTTCTATTTTGATATATTTTTAATGTTTTGGTCCTACTTTGGTCTTTCTCTCTAACTTTTTGTGCCCCTTCCATCCAACTTTTAAGTAAATGTGTTTTGTAGGATACATAAAAATGGAAGTGGGACTATTTTTTTAAATCGGGAGAAAAGTAATTTTAATAACTAGAACTATGCATGTTAAACCATATGCAAATCTATTTCTAAAGTTAATTGCGCGTTTAATTTGGAAAATATATCTATATTTTGAATGTGGGTACAATGTCAATAATTCTAGAATTTAGTACACTAAATTCATTGTAAGTAAATTGCTAATACGAATTCTCTTTATCATATTAAAGAGAATTCACGTGGGTAAGAATGACCGAATTGCCATTGAATTCTCTAATATGATAAATGTAGAAAATGTTAATGGATTACAATTGAATATTAAATTAATACTAATTAAAGTTAACATTGTTCACTTTTTGTGTTTAGGAACACAAATGTACAAAAAAAGTATTCATTTATTTACGAAATGGTTAGAGGTATATAAGTAAATTGCTAATACGAATTCTCTTTAATATGATAAAAAAAATCTTGTGATAATGTGGTTAATTTTTCCACTTCTTGATGAAGTATATTAGAAAACGACTTAGTATGCACTTTGTTCGCTTGATTTGATCTAATTTGATTTTATGAAGATCTAGTCTGATCTGATTATAGTTATATTTAAAGTTGTATCTGATCTGAATTTAATAAAAATAAATAATAAGCTAAAAAAATAAATTGAATGAAATAAACCCTTAATTGAGTGCGAGGTAATTAACCCTGTTAACGTCTAGTGAATTTGGATAAACCCCTCTTAGACCATAGATCCAACCGACTCTAGCAACAAGGCTGGCCCATAGGAGGTCCAGGTGGTCCACTTGACTAGGCCCAAACAAATTGAAAACTAAAATTTTACAACAATTTATTTTATACTCGTAATTGGATGACGATGAAATTTGAACTTGTGACCTCTTAGTTCTCTTAGTCAATAAAAATCTCATATTTTTTTACATGTAATTTTAAGCTCATTTTTTAAGTATTTTCTAACACTATATTTTGCCTATACGAATTCATAAATCATACTTAGTTAAATTACAAGTGTCGAAATCACTCTAAAACAATTAAATCAAATTTATTATATAGTTCAATTCAAAGTCTTATAAACTCATCGACTAAATTTCTAAAATGATCCTTTCTGATATTTTTCTGAATTGATTTTCAATAAGTTCAGATTACATATTTGGTACTTTATACGGAGTAATTGAGATTTATTCTCTAAGTAGTTTTCACAAAAAAATGCCACTTAAATATCGATTAAATAAAGGGCACTTTGATGTTTTTTATCATTCCAAACAAGCTAGTTTTCCACAATGATTCTTTTCTAATTAAGGAGATGTATTTGATTCAAATTTTAAAATAATTTGATAAATTTTAAATAATTCATAGATTATGTATAATCAATGATTACTTTAGTTTTACATGATTTTGTATAGAAATGACCATTTTAAGAATTCACTTTGAATTTAAATAATGAGAATGTAAGAAAATAATATGGAGGAAGAACGCTGCGGAGTAGTGTTAACAAAGAACGAGAAGAACAATTTGATAGAGTATAACGAATTGCGCAGAACCCTTTCAAATCAAAGTTATTCCGGAGTATACGAAATACTTTAATCAGATAAGACGTTAATCAAGAACAAGCACTGAAAATCATGTCTCAACCATGAACGTTCGCGTATGAGACGAACGTTCACGCGAGGAGATAACATCTGAAAACACGAAAGCTCGATTAAGGAGATGGACCCCGCTATGAATTTGTAATATCGTTGAATTAGAGCGCACTCCGCGCCTCCTAACTCGTTTGACAACGTCTATTCCACTAACTATCATTTATGGGCCTGAATGGTGAACCATAAGAGTAAAAATTGGAAGTTGCCAAGATGAGAATATTACAATCCAATTAATTGCCAACACATACATCTCCCTCGTAAAATGTCACAATATACCAAAATT